AATACTGAACGTAGAATAATCACTAATGCTGCCAGCCTCTAAAAAAACACAAACGCGAAATTCGTCGTTCAGTTTGACCAATTAGGGCCAGTTTTTTGATCCGTAGTAAAAAATGGTTTTACCATTTGTTACATTAACTATAGTTAAATGAATAACCATTGGTAAAATCGTAAATGCGTTTTTCAATGCCTTTTTTAACTATAGTTAAAGTTAACAATTTGTCAATTTGTTGCCAGTGCAATGAGCAATGACATCCCAAAAATGTGGTTCTTTTTTGTGGGGATCATTTATTTTGTATGACAACACTAGACATATTGAGTGAATGAAATCCATTTTTGCCATCTTCATTCGTTATTTGCGCTTTGAAGAGTTTGAAGTGTCAAATTAATCTAAATAACACGATATAAATAAAGTTGTTTTTCTGTGATTTAATACGGTTTACACTTTTTACGATACTTAAATATATAAATAACGATGTCCGCAAACAGCCAACGGTCAAATAAGTAAGTTCAAACATATTTTCGTGTTATTTATTCCGGTTTATCTTGTGTTTCGTAATAGAAAGTAATACATTTATGTTTTGTTAAAGGGACCATACTGCTAACTTCGCCAAAAAAGAAACTGCCAAACTGGTGATGCTTCTCAAGGATTACACAGTCGTAACCTGCAAACAACTGATCACTGCAGCAATCTACAAAAAGATGCAGCTTGGAAATCTCTGTGACGTTTTCAACTCAGATGGGTCTAGACACCGAAGTGTTAAATTTAATATACATTTAATGAAGGTGTAGGCACATTTTATATTTATTCTTGTATAGCTGTGTCCTACAACAAAAGGAAAAAATCTTTTAACCCTTTGGAAACAAGGAAGCGGATTATGATCCACACGGATAAAAAAAATTGAGTTTAGAAACAAAGACAAATAAGAGAGGATGATTTGTTCAATTATGCTTAAGAAGAGCATCAAAAACATTTGCTGCACCAATGAGAGGCCCACCAAAAATTCATACTGCATAAAGAGGAGGTGCACCAAAAAGTGATGCAGCAGATGGAAGAAAAGCACAATAAATATATGTAGCAGCAAAAAGAGTTGCATCAAATTGAGGTGAAATGCAAGAAGAAACAATTAGAAAATATTTAATTGCTACTTTAGGGTTTCATGTAAATTTTGTTATGTTTTTTTAATAAAAATGGTTTGTATTTAAGTTATAATTAAACAGTTTATTAATCAAGTCAAATGTTTTATTTATAAATTCTTGTAATAAAGTAGATAGATGCTAACTCACAAATGTAATAAAAGCCCTAAAGAATATCATAGGTCCCTAACTAATGTGTAGCTGTAGTTTTTAGTATAAGTACATACTTGTATGTACTTATAATAATTATAAGTTAATATTATTAGTAATATATAAATAATATTAACTCTAATTCATTATGTATTCTATTGCCTATAATATTAACTTATAATAATTATAAGTTAATATTATAGGCAATAAAACACATAATGAATTAGTAATATACTTAATTATATACTGCTGCGGTTCTGTAGCTAGTAATGAAGCAAAATAGGTTTGTATGAGCTGCTGTCTATATATACTCTTGTTCTTGTATTTTATTTAATTATAATAATTATAAGTTAATATTATAGGCAATAAAACACATAATGAATTAGTAATATACTTAATTATGTACTGCTGCGGTTCTGTAGTTAGTAATGAAGCAAAATAGGTTGGTATGAGCTGCTGTCTATATATACTCTTGTTCATTGGCAGTTTAAGATCATTCCCAATTTCAGTAACAATCCAGAGCACTGTTCCCTTCGATAGGGGGTAACAGTGACAAAAATCTACATCATCCCAGGTTTCTAATGGCGGATGACATTGCCTAAATATTTTTGGTCACTCATTAACACATTCTCATATAATATTATCGTCTTCTTCATCGTCTCATTAATTAAAGTATCTCAATATGTTTAAATTCATCATTAGATAGTAATAAACGTATTTATCATAGTTTGATTTCTGTGACAAACAGCTGTTAGTATATAAATTACCAGCTATAATTAACTTTTTTGACTAATGGTTAGATATTTTACCATTGGATGCTCTTACCACGGATCAAAAAACGCATTTTGCTGATATTTAACTAATAGTAACGATTTTTTACCAATAGTTGAGTTAACTACGGATCAAAAAACCGGCCCTTAGTAATTAGTATCAAGGAAATGCACTCTTACGGGCAACATCGAAAAAGGAGGGAAAATATTTTTATTACGTACCGTTTCCATACATTTGCATACGAATTCCTTGTTTTTTCTAACAAACTTCACGTGGGTGAACATAGTAGACTTCTGCAGCTTCATAAAAAAATCAGCTTAAGCTCTTGTGGCAAATGTCACACTCGTGTGTGCGTATGTGATCGAAGGCGCACGGAGAGACTAAATTTTTTTTTATGTTAAATATAATTAATTAAGCTATTGCATAGCTTCTATCGCGGGCCTCGACCGTGGAGACCGAATCCAGAAATTCCGTAACGAAAAAACCTGACGCGTTAGAGCGGGACAGAACGCATACTGCGTATTCACATCTCTCTGGCGAGATCGGTGCAGCCGGTGCGCGTTAGAGTGAGACAGACTATACAGGCGAGTTAGTCTGAGTCTAATCTGGTAGAGTGGTAGATTGAATTAATTTATCAAAGAAAAAGCTTGAATTAATATCAAAGAAAAAACTTGAATTAATATCAAAGAAAAAAAATACTGCATAAATAAATAATTATAATTGCATAAGTTGAAAAAAAATGATGCAATAGCTTTACCGTGGCAGTCCCCGAGTGCCACACTTTTTTTTTTGTTAACAGGAACAGGTTTATATGTAATAAAACGTTTAAATATGTTCTAGAATGCTCTTAGTTATGTTTAATTAAGGCGATAGTTCAATAAGAAACAAGCTGGAAGCTTTCAAAGATCGTTAGATCTTTTAAGTTATTAAAGAACATTGTGTTTAATGTACTGCACAACAAATATTTTGAAGATATATTTAAAAAAAATGTGAGACGTCACGAGACGCCTGGCCGATGTGAAACATCGACATTATTTTGTAAAAGTAATATGCAGAAAAGATCAGATTGTGATAGGAACTAAATGTCATAACGATAAAATAAAATATTACGATCTTTTTTTTCCAGATAACGATGACTATTTATTGAATAAACATTTATTTTCATTAAATAAAAAAAATTACGAATTTATTCCAAATCGTGACTACTTAATTCGTTTAATCAGTGACTTCGAAATACACACACCGTACACACTACTGCATATAGACTGTATATATGCAGTAGTGTATGGCGACGCGTCGCCACGTCATGCGTCGCCACGCCAGAAATCGGTTTTACGTGCGGCTATAGATGTTTCACATCAATATGAGATATAAAGTTTTTAAATAATTAGTTACATACCTTGTCCTTGCACTTAGATTTGACTGGGCATTCAATTTTTCTTAATTTGTGAACTGCCATGTGTTGTTTCAACAGATATGCAGCTGCACGGCGTATACCTCACACCTCACAGATAAATATTTATTCAGCACCATGTACTTTAGGAATGTGTGCTTTAAGAAGTGTTGGGGTTATGAATACTTTTCCACAACTTTGCTAAAATAGAAAATTTCAGTTATTCATTCAGATGTGCCCAATGTGTGTATTACATCATAAAAATACAGATAATAAAGTATACCTCATCTGAGGATACATACAACCAAAAGTTTCTGCATTACCTAGGTAACACTGAAAATTTTTAGAAAATGAAAAACAGCTTAAGCCAATGATAAACTAATAGCCCCACAAAAAAATAACCAAACCAATTCACAATATTACTTATTATTATTAGTTATTGTAGTAATTTAAATAGTTTGTTTCCATTAAAATCCACCCCTAAAAGTTTCCATGACCTCAATTTTAATAAAAAAATTAGTATGCAAAAATTATTTATCAAAATAAATAGCAAATTGATACTTAGAATGAAGAGAATATTGAAATATTACACTACACATTTTATTTCATATCAAGTAAAATACACAGGAGGGATTTAAAATTTGTATAACATAATAAAATCCATTTCCTTGGCTCTATGATGTAGCCTGTAACAGCAGAACTTGTGACTGTGATAGACGAAGGTTAACAAGTAATTTTGTTATAATTTTTTTTGGCTAATAACTTTCTATAATTTAAGTACTCCCGATAAAGTTTCAGGCAATTTAAATTATATGATACTTTTCATAATAAATATAGAGACAAACGGAACTTAATTCACGTTTTGTTTACATATTATATGCATTTCAATATTACTACAATAATTTGTCTTAATTTTAGTTTTAGTCAATACATCTCTAACATTTTCGTTGACTTACTTTCACTTTGTTTTGCATTTAAATTCAATAAACTCATTCATGTTTTAAATAAATTATTTATTTAACTCGGAACAGAATATTCGTTCGGAGTTTGAAAAACAGAAACAATGTAAATTAATAACGTCAAGTAGTTTTTTTTTTTTTCCTTTATGGCTCTGGCACGGTCTCGTCAAGTAGTTGTAAAGCCAAAGCACAAAAGTGTCAAGTGTGGACTGAGTCCAAACTCCATACTTCAAAGTCAAAACTTAAATGTCTGAACCTACTGTAGTCTATGGTGAAAAATAAGACTTGGAATTTAGAAATGTCATTTGAGTTTTGACTTCTGCACGCTGACAACTAACTACTAAATCAAAATATATTACCTCTAGTCTCTTCATGATCTGTGTAGACAGTAGACACAAATGTGATTCTTTATATTTCTTTGTGCATAACAATTTTGAGAAACGTGTTTTGCACACTAAGTTAATTTTCTTTATATTTATCATTTAGTTATGTCTAAAGGCTCAGAAGTTTTTAGATCTTAATACTGCCCACTTTCTTGTAAGATTTATATTAATATTAACGTCAAGTTGTTAGCAAAAAAAACGTTTAAAAATGGTTGTAGCATCGACAAATTTTTCTGCGCCGGTTGAAGGTGTGCTTTTACAAAATTCCTCTACGAAGCTGCTGGTAAATAATCTGGAAATTGGCACAGCAACTTTATATATTACTGAAAAGTATGTAATTTTTACTCTATTCTAATCATAAGTCTTATGAAAGCCATGTAAAAGTAAGGTTTGTTTTCATGAATGAGCATTGTAAAACTCTCATTATTAGCATCAATACCGCTGTATAGATTGAATTATAATCATATTACTGACACCCTTGACCTAGGAGGGTCCGTAGCTACAGCCGTAAGCGGTGTTGGTGAGATAGCCGCTCTAAGTACTCGCCACCAATGTTTGCAGTTTGACGCGACTAAGCAAGCACCTTGACCCTTGACAACATATATCTTTTTAGTTATTGTCCCTCCAAAAGGAAGGTGAACATAAAGACGGTAGTTACTTTTATTGACATTTTATAGGCAAGCTTGTGATCAGCATCTGTTTTTGCTTAATGAAGTGTTATACATGAAATAATATTTCATTTGGTGGGAAGACGTTTTAAATAATAATTATTTTTAAATTAACTTATTTCAGCAATGTTGTATGGGGTGGGGGCGCGGCAGCTTCAGGTGGACCATCACCACCTGTGTCTATTCTTTATCCAAATATTTCTCTCCATGCAGTACAACGGGAACCAAGCCCAGCTCTATATCTTGTCCTTAACTATGAATTGAGGTAAAACTACTCACTTTTAACTATGATGGTTTAATATTAATAATATTTGAAGGTTAATCAATTGTTTGAAATTATTTAATAGTACAGAGCTCACTATTTTTTTTACTATTTATGTATTGTGTGACCTCCAAATTTATAAGACATGTTAAATATGAATTAAATGTTAAGTTTGCACAAAAAATTTTGTTACATAAATTTATTTAAAAACATAGTTTTTTGTTAATAAGGTAATAATTGTTTAAGATTACCCAATGTACCCACCGGAGCAGGTGATAGCAATGAGGCTCAAAATGAAAACGAGGATGAAGAATTTGATGCTGATGATCAACCCATCACGCAGATAAGGTAATATAAAAAAAAATATATGTTTCAATAGTGAAGTTAGTTGTGGTATTGGACCTACATTACCTTTTTCACTCTCCATAGTTTTTACTGTATACAATTTACATTCATTAAGAATGTATGTATAGCAATATAATAATAATGTATAGCATTTTTTTTTATTTTTTCCTCATTTAAACTAAGTGAGATTTAAAAATAGTCCTAATTCCTTTTACTTTCATTGATGGTGTATTATATTTTTGTAGGTTTATACCAGAAAACGAAAATGACCTGCAACTTATGTTTTCCGCTATGTGTCAGGGTCAAGCTTTACACCCTGATCCCCAGGATGAATCAGAAGATGACCCTTATATGAATTTGGACGATGGTAAGTCTCTTATATTTATTTTAAATATTTTTTAAATTATCTTGGGAAATTTAAGAATGTACACTTTGTTAACACATTAAATAATTTAAAAATTTGACAACATATACATTTCCTTTAGAACATCACTCAGTTCTTAAAATTTGACAGATGATGAAGAGTTTGAAGATGCACAGGAAAATGACTCTTCAGATGAGGCGGCTGGGAGAATGCAGCAACTTAGAATTGAAAATTTAAATGGGAGCACACATTATGAAGGTTATAATTTTTTTTGGCTTCTAATCTCTATAAAAAAACAATGTCAAAAATTATGAATATTTTGACAGTGCTCTATACTTATGGTACATATTGTAATTAAATTATTTTATTTTCAGATTGCGAAGATGTTGATAATGAATAATTTAACTTTATTTTGTATGGTGCACACACAATTGACTGAAAAAATATTTGTGTAGTTCAGGAAGATAAGTTTTTTATAAATATTTATACCATACAAGTAGCAATATATGTGTTTGGATATATCTGCTAATATCAAGGTTTTTATTGCTCAATATTCAATGAATTATTATATCTTTATTTTTGGTAATGCTTCAAAATACAGTTTCCTCTGAAAAGCAGATGATTTTTAACAAATGAAGTCTTGTAATGATTTCGTATGGATGTAATAGAAATTTACTATGCATATATTATTCTAAAATATTTGCCTTTTATACCTGTAGATTTGCTAAATAGTTACTTAATAAGATATTATTTAAAGCGAAATAATATCGTAAAATTCGAATATAAATAATCTCTTCCTTTGGCAATACTTTTTAATAAGTTTGGTTATATACCACAGTTAAGTTTAAGACTTGGTTACAAGGAAAACTGGTATGCATGTGAGCTTGTTCGAATGCTAAGCTGATCCACCAATTGGTACTTTCTAGATCTCATGAGTATACCACGGTGAGATATTTTTTTTGTTTTTTCAATGTTATGAAGCAATACTTTTATTTCACTAGCGTTTAACAACCACACTATAATGTAGTATTTGTATTCCAAAAGCTAAATGTAATGTTTTGTAATAAATTGTATTATTAATTAAGTATTTTCATTTATAGTTGTCCATTAGAAAACGGAGAATCACAAACTCTGCCTAAACTAAATTTTTGGTCAGAAGGTATTTAAATTTGAAACTGAGCTCGAGAAGGCAAAAAACAATTACATTTAATGGTTTATTTAACGCAAAATTTATCTAACAAGTACTTATATTTTAACCTTAGTCACTTAAACTCTTCAAAATGTGTTACAAATTGTAACCTAAGTACACTATCGGATTTAGTAAACAAGTTACACAAATACACTATCCGAATTGCACTTTCACACTTTGATGTAGTGATTTCGTTATTTAATTATATTTTATGTAATTTTGAAAATATTTTCAGTAATTTGCCCAATTGCTTTATATACACGTAAAACGAAATACACTTTATAAACGAAAATACACTAAATCAAAGAGCACTTTAAAATTAATTACACTATACGGCCACGCTAAGGAAAAAAAACCCTTAAATGTGCGTGTTTACAAAAATAAACGGATTTAATGAAAAAAACATGACAGTCAAAAAACATTCACTCCTAAAATTGTACGAAATTATTTAGTCTAGTGAATTACTGATTACCACTTACTCGAATTACATCTATTATGTCAATATATTAGTGTACTGTTTAGAAAAAAACAGGCTTTATAATAATTATTTAAATACAGGAATTTTAGATCAGCATACCAAAAACTTAGCATCATATTTCTTATTCAGACAGCTTTTCAGTGTATATGATTTTTACAGGTTTTTCAAAGCCAAATGCTTTAATACACCCTGTATATGAAGACTTTGTACTTACAAAGCTGAATTAATCTACGCGTGACCGCTTCAGCGGCTTCGATGCCCGTTTTTAATAAAATACGTAATTATAACAACCATTTCTTTATATTAACTTATAACATAAACGGGATCTTGTTTAGCCGCTACTCATGGCTTGACACTTAACAAGGTGTGGAAAATAATTCATATAAAATATATTATAGGCCGCAACTGTTAAAAATTGTTGTTGTGTTGAGGGTCTACAATTTTAAAGCCGCCGTTTTGTTTACGCAAAGTCAAAACTTAATCGTATACGGAAAAGAGAAAAACATCGCGTATATAAAAACAAAGTGTATGATTTCTTTTGAATCCGAAAAAAAAAATACTTTAAAATATGTACTAAAATAATTTAGTACAGAATATTTTATAAAGCTAATCTGGTAAATTTGTTTTGGGTAATTAAAATAGTAGCCTAACTTCATTAAAATATTTACTTACAAAACGACGAAAATAATTGTAGACCCATAAAAAATTACCAAATAATTTGTCAGTATTGCTCGGAAAACAAACAAACGAATTTTACAAGATTTAAACGGAAATATTCTCGTCCACACTACAAACACAATCACGCCTCTGGTCCCTCCACACCGTTTACTTCAGTTTCGAGTTTTTCCGATTTTTCAGAAATTTTTTCAACCTTTTCTGGTTTTTCCGTTTTCTCTGGAACTTTCTCCGAATCCGTTTCCATTTCTGATTCGATCTTTTCTACTTTGTCATCAGTCTGTTTGTCGTCTGCTTCATCTTTTTCTGTGTGTTTGTCTGTCTCGCTGTCGAGTGTGTCCTGACTGGATGTGTCCATAGTTTCGACTTTAGAGTCTTGTGAAGTTTCATCCGCGCTTTGGTCTGTGTCCGTTTGTTTGTTTTCTTCTTGCGATTTTTCAGATTTGTCTGAAACAGTTAAATTAAACATGTAATTCAAATACATATATATTTTTGTATACATATAAGCATAGTATAGTGTGACGGTAGCGATGTTATAGCACGTAAGTAATTGGACCTTAAACGTTATTTCGCCAAGAATTATTTTTTTTGTTTGGGTACTTTGTTTTCTTTGGGAGAACATCGGAAAGCATGTCAAAAAGTCTCTTACATAATACCAAACTCACCAGTGTCATCAACCTCCATTGCTGTCTCCTTTTTCTCATCACCGTTTATTTTCTGAAAAGAAAAATTATATTATTTTTTCTAACGTCAAAAAATATACATAATCGTGCACTTTCATCACTCGTTGTTATGTCTACATTTAAACCAGTTTCAATTAATTTAGAAAGACAACAGGAGAGACTCACAGACTAAACATAGTAATATGATGAGTACACCCGTACAAGGGCTATATTGAGACAACCATATCATATTTAAAATAAAGTTATTGTAACCGTCACGGATAATAAATTTAAAATATTTAAGAAATTAATTATTTAACCCATGTTAGTCCGGCAATATTGTTTTATTATTTAAAATTATGATTTTGATTTATTTGATTACAGTTACAGTCAAAACCGTTAACAACAACATCGTTTAGAACAACATACCGGTTATATTGACCAAAATTAAAGGTCCCGGCTGAATTCTATTGTATAAGGTTGCTTTGTTGATAAGGACTGTTACGATCGGTTTTTACGACCAAATATGAGTAGTCCCTTCGATGTCGTTATAACAGATTTTGACTGTATATCCCCTTTATAAAGCAAAATCAGTCTAATAGACAAAATATGTTAAATTAAAAATATATACCTCATACCCCACACATATTATACCTTCAAAAGATACATCCCAAAAATACATACTAATAATCTAACAATACAGTTCTAACGAATAACGAAACGTTTAAACCTAGTTTCCATATTTACTAATTAACATTTAGTAGTAGAAGTAGAAACCAAGTCACGCTTTTGCACCACTAAACTAGAATATGAAACTTTTCGTTATTATAAAACATAAAAATCACGGAATAGATTGGAATTGTACGCAATATTATAGTATATCGAATTAAATAGGAGTCTTTAAAAACTTAGGTAAGTATTACTCCCGGATGTCAAAAACGCTGCTCCGTGACAAACAGTGACCTAACCCTGACTTTTATCTATTCCGTGATAGAAACAACGGCACAACAAAAATTACCTAATTACCAATTACTAATCTAAACCTATTCTAATCTACAATAATAAAAAAAATTTACTAAAAAACAGATGATTTGTTTTGACAAACTTAGTCTCAGGTGTGGGACAAAAATCTGTCCCATTGGGAGAGTCTGTGCACAATAATTAGCAATATTAGGAAATAAAAATTTACTGAATTCGCAAAAAATCATCTGTTTTGGTAAAAAAAGAAGAAAAAAAAAACCTATTTCTTGGCTTGTGAGTGGGTGCTGCCTTTTGTTTTTTAACCTATGTAAGTAAACACACAATTTTATTTATCATAAGTAAAACTGTTTATTTTATAATAAAGTGCAAATTCTTTAAAATGCCAAAAAATCCATCAGTAGCTATGTAGAGTTTACGATGAATTTTAAAATGTAATAAAATATTTGAATTTTGTAAATTGTAAAAATACTAAATTAAAATGTGACCAACTTTGAAAGAATCTTTCACCATTAAAAAGCAAATAATTAAATAATATAAAGGAACAAAAATTGCAATATTTTCTTAAAAACAAATTAAGAAAGTCAAGTAAAGTAAGGTTATGTTAATAAAAAGTTGTGTTTTCTTAAAAGAGTAAATAAAAAAAATACCTCGGTGCTGGTGCTTTCCTTGCGTTTCCTCTTGCCTTTGACTTCCACACTGACCTCACTCGCACTCGTCGACGTCACTTGCTGATCTTGTTCCTGTTTGGCTTTCTTAGCCTTGGGTTCGGATTCGACCTCCGCTTGTGGCTCTTCTGGCTCCGGTTGGGGTGATGGCTCTTTTTGGGGCGACGTGTCTTCCTGCAATACCCATTAATTCATTAAAAACATACATATTTATTACAAAAATTTCCTTTAAAAAGTGAGCTTCTTAATATATTTTTTATTATTTGAAATTAGGCAGCTACATTTTTAACTGAAAAGATGTCGATTGTGTGTACATAATACATTGTAAATTTAATTAGTAAAAAATAATAATTCATGATAAATTTTACTTTCAAACAGTTCTTTACATAAAACTAGTGTACTGATTTAACAATTATGAATAACTTCTTCCATTACATAAATCAACTACAAAATATTAAATTAAATCACTAAAACTACAATTAATTTTGTTCTACCATTCCCATAATTATTTGTAATATAAAATATTTTAAAGTTACTTTTATAAAAACAGTAATACAAAAACATTAGATCATATTATCAACTAAATGATTATTAATGAAATTTTGAAAAGATAAATTTGTTATTTTGATATTTATATAATTGCAATAAAAGATTGTATTTAAGGTAAGTAATATCTCTTTTTGCAATCTTGCAAACTTACCACAAAGAGCACTGTATGTTGGCCCCCAGCAGATATTCTAGCCGGTTTGTGGCTGCCCGCAGACAGATTGATACCCAAACAAATGGACGGGGTGGGTTCGTTTGCGTCGGAACATGTACCTGTGCCCAACTGGCCTTCGCTTCCCATGCCCCATCCTAGTATTTCACCTGAGAAAACATTGAACATTTAAATGAAATTAATTATTCTTTCACTTATTAAGTTAACCAAGACTAAAATAAGAATATCAGCCTCTAATGAGAATGAACAGTGGGATCTGAAAGCCATAAGCCCACGGTGGTACACCATAAGTCACTGAAAATAAGCTAATAATATATTTATAGTGTGCAACATTAATAAGATATACAAACATATGGAGTCATCCTAATAAAACAATAAATTGCTGAACTTAGTAATTAGTTTGTACCTGTTTCAGTGATAGCAAAGGAATTACTAGTTCCGGCTGCTATACTGATACATTTCTTGTTCTGGAGAGCAGGAATTGACTCTAGGTCTTTTGCATCCGTACTTCTGTCGCCTAGACCCAATCTGAAAGTAAAGACATTATATTTGTATTAAAAAGGGTGCGTGTACTTATGTACACGCGTAAGAAGTTATACTTCTTTGGTTTTCTTTATTTTTTTTAAATATAAAATAATTAATAATAAATATTTAACGATAATAATTTAATAATATTTAATATTTAGTATATTATTCAATTATCAATTAATATTAATAATAATTATTATTTTATTATATTGTTCATTCAGTTTAATAACTAGGTATGTTACATAACCTTTTAACTAAGTAACAATAGGTCTTTGTGAAAAAGCATTGCTAAATTTCTTTGAAAAAATAATTAAAACTCCTTTATTTGTTTAAAAGGTACTACAAAGGTCATTCAAAATTCTTGGCATAGCTGCTAACGTCACGCATATTCTATTTCTTTTTACTTGTAGATTGTCTGATTCCCATCACGCTCGGCGCCCGGCTGGTTTAAAAAAAATTCGTTAGTGGGCAACTTCATACTGATAATTTTGTGTCACGGTGCGCGCGCATCGTAAAATTTCACTCTCATCAATTTTTCATAACGCGCCTAAAGAAGTATAACTTCAATAACAACCTCAAAATATCATATAAGTTGCATTATAACAGATACAATAAATTTAAGTTTTTTGATAACATTTGAAACTTTGCATATGACATATTTATCTTAATATTTAAAAATATAGATAAGGAATAGTTTATATAAAAACATTCAAGTCATGCATGAGTACAAATAGAATAAATAATTTGGATATATATGTAATATTATGGTATGAACTCATACAACTGATTCACTCCATTTACTTTTCTGGGGAACATACCTGCCATATTCGCACCGTCCCACCGCATACACCTGTCCATTGGAGTCAAGGGCGAGAGAATGATGTTGTCCCAAAGCGACTTCTTGCCAACTGAGTGTATTGGAGAAGGCATCACATTCTGTCGGAGTGTGTAGAGCTATTTTGCGCTTATCACCTGTTATACCTACAAACATAAGACATTTACATAATTAGATTTAAAAAAAATTAATAAATCATTTACATACATTTTATCTCATTGAAACCTATAAAATCCTCACTGGCCACTATAATGTTCCAGGAATTGAGAAGCTCTTAAAACTTAAGACCACTCAACATAACACAAATTCCCTAAAAAAACTTTCTCCCAAACCAAGTAGTGGCCGACTGGAATAGGCTTCCGGAAAGTGTAATCAGTGCACCATCTCTGAACTCCTTTAAAAATAGATTGGATAGTTTCTCCAAATCTCAAAATACACGCGCATCAGTTGCTAGAGTGTTTATATACATAATAATAATAATACATTTAGGTTTTTCTAGAAAATTTCAGAATTTTAGAGTAATACCGTTAGAAAAAAAATTATCGCCTCCAAAATTTGTACTAGACAAAATCTCACCGAGTTGCCCGTAGTTATTGAGCCCCCAAGCGAACATCTTGTCCGAGACGGCGTCCAACGCGAACGTGGCATGGTATCCTGCCCAGACACGGGACACTATGCACTTCAACGTTACTTTCGATGGTACTAGCAGAGCACCTGAAAAAACAAAACAAAGTTTTTATTGTGAAATATCAACATTCAAAGATTACTTATTTAAATATACTACTTATTGTTTTAAAAATGATGTTTATACTCACTGATTCCATGCCGAGCTTCCCTGGATGCTGAGCGTTGTGACAATCTTCCAAGTTGTCCTTGTTCACCACACCCCATGGTGTATACGGCACCGCTTGTCTGAAAAAAAATCATATATTATTATATGCTCACCTAAACCATAAAAGTGTATTTTTTATATTTTGAAATAAGCCTTACAAATTAAATTACACAAAAAAAAAAGGTTACAAAAAAGCAAAAGTACAAAACAAAAATTAGATTCAAGAATACAAAGAAGACGTGAAGTGTAGATTCTAGACTTTTACAGGCTTCACACGTTAGCTATTTACTACTTACAGATAGAACAACGAGGTGATCTCCCCCTGAAGCTATGCCCACAGCTGTCTCAGGAATGGCCAGTTTGAGAGGCTCTTTAGAAGGCTTGCCTTCACGAGCCCTCAATACAAGTCCCATAGTTCCATGGGAATCCTGAAAATTATAATGTTTGTTATACATCAAAATTTAATTTTAAAAAAATCCATAGATTTTGGTCTTCTATAAGTATGCTTAGTGAAATAAAGAGGTTCCATCGGTTATAAGTTAAATCATATATATGAAGTCAAAAAGAATTAACAGAAGATGATTTTCTAGTGTAGTTTCTTGATTATGACTTCTGTACAATAATATGTATTGCGTTTTTAATTATTTTTATGAAGCTATTTATAAGCCTGTTTAGTATAGGTCACAATATTTACTATGACTAAGACATTCTTTTGGATTTCATAGTCTTCAATTATTTTTAATATACAGAAATATTGTAACTAAACAATATGCATATTTAAATACTAGAATGACTTACCCGGAAAGCGCCCCAAGCATATACATCTCCATTATTCAGCAATGCTGCAGAATGAGAATCTCCAGCTGAGATGGAGACTGCAGGTGCTGGGAGCGACACAGAACTTGGTGTACCTTCCTCTTGTTCATTGGTTGTAGGACGTCCTAGAGCTCCTTCATCATTGCATCCAAAAGTCCATACCTGTAAAGTATTGTTATATGAATTCCCTTGGAATCAAACTTCAGCTATGTGTTTGTAAAAATTATCTTGGTTGAATGAAATAGATGGCATTACTGGAATTATGATTTATAGTCCAGTAAAAGGAAAATAAGACAAATTACTTGTATATTTGTCATTTGTGTCTAGACACTATATAATTATATGTTGGAACATTTTTATTCACATCTCTGCTTAGTATACAAAACTCACCATTCCTTCAGAATCGAGTGCAACAGTGTGCATGCCCCCAGCACATGCATCCACTATTTTGTTACCCAACCTTGTAACTTGCTTAAACCTGAAAAGAAAAAAGTAAATTGTAATTATGTGGAACAAATTTTGAGAACAGAGAGTAAGATTTTTTGATACAGTAGAACCTCGTTAAGCCGAACCTCGATAAGTCAAAAATCTCCAAATCTCGAAAAAATGTTTTGTTCCCTTCCCTTAAAACACCAAAACCTCCATTACTTGAAATCTTGACCCTCTGTTAATCGAAATAATCACCGAGTCCCTCCAAGCCATTTTGGTACATATTTTCACTCTATAACTCGAAAAATTAAATTTGACCTCTGTATCTCGAACATAGGAACGTTTTATTTTACAACCTTTACAACTTGATCATTTGGAATGTATTATCTCTATTGTTCGAACAAAAATAAGTTACCGACTTTAAGAACTTGCCGACAATGTGAGTACACTATTGTTTCTTAGAAAACATTTTAGGAGCATACAATAATAAATTTATGACTCTGGAAACACGTGTTTGCTTGCTTTGTGTCAGGTGTTCAATTTTGATTCCCTTTGAAATTTAGCTAAGCCAGTCATTTGTTTTCGACTTAAATACTGTCAGAAGTAGTTTGGTTCTACTGCAATACACATCAATTAGTACAACAGTTAACATGAGTGCTGTGAAACGTAAACTAAAAACTTTGAGTCTTGCTGAAAAATTCAAAAAAAAATTAGAAGAAATCCTCCATAAGTTGAAAACTCTATAACTCGAATTTTTTGGCGTCTCCCTTGATGTTCGACTTATAGAGGTTCTACTGTATAATGGTCCAAAAGTATATTCAAAGAAAGTGCGTTTAAAACAAAAAAATTCTCATTATTAATTAAGTCCTTGCAGTATCCTTCAGCGCACTGAGACAAAGTGATATGTATATTATTTTTTCTGGTAATACTTACTTTGTGGTCTCAATGACATCTTCACCCAATCCCAATTGTCCTACATCACCCTGACCACATGTTAACACACAACCACGGCCCTTTGGAGCACTTGGTACTTCCAATTGTATAACTGAAATATGACATGAACATATAAATACAATAATTAGAAAGTCATTTCAATGATAATTTTATCAACATAAAATATTTTAACCTGAAATACCTTTAATATAAGAATGTAGAAAGAATTAGAATTTATTAAACATGCCTTGAAATATGACCTCAATAAATTTTTGACCTTGAAGAAACTGCAAATATGTAATATAATGATAGTTTCTCTGTAGTAATTGTTTTAGAGTGTTAATACATTTTATATCTCATTTAATTTTCATGATGAAATTTATACATGTTATTACATAGCAATGGAATACTATAAAGATAGGTAGGTACGATATCTCTGAAGGACGCATAGTACTTAAACTTCGGCAAAAAATAGACTACGCCAGTAAGCCGCGATTATTCATCTAACCTCAAATTTTAGCCATTTAGTAAGGACGCTTACGTAACAAAATAAAAATAGAATATCAATACAAAGTTAAATCTCATTACAGGTTATTATACTTATTCCAATAGTATATCAATGTAAACAAATTGCAATTGTGTAAAAAGGCGCCAATACAAGTGAATGCATTTCCCGCCATTACGGTTTGACAGGTCATTGACGTCGTAGAAATGTAAAGAAAACAAGACCCATGTAAACTTACCTCCCCGTTTCTTCTTATTTTTGGGTGCCGATGATGCTGTAACGGCGGATGTTTTCGATGCCGTTCTTTTGACACCTCGTGCAGCCGGCATGTCTGCAATATTGTTATAACTTAAAGACGCGTCACTCGTCGGTAAACATACACATAGAGCGCGGCAAATCAACGCTCAAAGAACGCTTGGCTTGATGACGTCTTAGCAGTTTCTACAATTGTTAGCATTTTATTTCGACTTTGCTCGCATCTGCATCAATTACAATGCTATGCTATCGCTGACTTATGCAAAATCCGAGAAAGGTTATATTGCATTTTGTGTTGCACTAAACAGAAAGAACAACGCATCAAACCATTGTCAGAAATATCTTGTAGACTTGAAGTATTGTACTTACTGATTTCTCAAAAGATTTACTTGTAATCCAAATTAAAAACGAATAAAATAGCCACTAAACATAAGATGACGTATTATTTCAGTGTACGAATCTCGTACATTTCACTAACTAATAACTTGTTTCTAGAGGTGAGTCGAAAATATTAGATCAGATAAAAGTACTAGGTATTTTTCGAGATTAGGCCGCACCTAATCCAATGGACGCAGTACCTAATCCACCTAATCCAAGAGGTAGCGTAGCGACTAGCGAGTAGTGTAGTCCCGGGCCGCGCCCGCGCGTCAGCGGTCGGGCGGGGTGCGGGGCGCGGGACGTGAGACTGGTAAAATCCGGTTTGTTTCGCTGGCTGTTCGGGCCTCGCGGGCCGGCGGCGAGCGCACAAAACAATAGCTTTCCTTTTCTAACACATAGAAACGTTACCTGTTTTTGTCTTTGTTTGTTGTTCGGTTAAGAAAAACAATAAATTTGCATGTAATGTAAACAAACACTTAGTTAGTGTCGTTCGTCATTTGGGCGATGCAAGCTGTGACTTGTTATGATTGAGTTTGTTTAGTGAACTTTAGTGCAGAAAAACTTTCGTATTTTGTAAAAAAAATGGCTCCAAAGGGGAGTAGTGTCGCGTGGGACCATTTTGTGGTCAAGGACAAGGATCAGTACATGGCCGAGTGCAAAATGTGTAAGACTCAGTTAAGTTTTAAAGGTTCTGTGTCTAACTTGACAAAACATTTGAAAAGGAAGCATCCTTTGGTCAATTTAGTGCCACGAAATTCTTCGACGTCAGCTTCCATATCGCTTAACTCGGAATCACCATCATCACAGGTGGCAACGGCAACGACTTCATCAAGTGATACGACCGATTATCACCAGCAGCTAGTACCAGTAATACTGGTACAGTGCGTGTAGTACAGTCAGGCACAAAAACTATAGCTGCATATATTTACAAGAAGAACGCCGATAAATGTAAATCCGATATCGATCAATTGATCATGGATCTATTTATTCTGGACTTTCAACCATTCCGCATTGTAGAAGACAGGGGTTTTAGAAAACTGATTCAGTCTGCATTTCCATTTTATATAATTCCCACACGCAAGTACTTTGCAAACAACTTACTACCGAGCCGTTATGAAAGTTTGCGGGAAATAAAAATGGTCGAACTTCGAAATGTTGAGTCAATATGCATCACAGCTGATATTTGGACTTCAAGTACCAATGATTCATTTTTAGGTGTTACTGGCCATTATATTGACAAAGATGAGTATGTGCTTAAGTCCATATTACTTGAATGCGTGCTTCTGGATGGTTCCCACACAAGTATTAATTTAGCAACGGAGCTGTTGCGAGTAGCAGAGGAGTGGCAAGTGGCGAACAAAATTCTGCTGGCAGTTTCGGATAATGGATCCAATATTAAAAAAGCCATAGAAAAGGATTTAGGCTGGAAGCATTTTGGCTGTTACGCCCATTCTCTCAATCTGGCCGTACAAGAAGCGATGTCGAAGTCAGAGGAAGTGACTGCATTGGAGGGCAAAATAAAAACGATTGTCAGTTATTTCAAAAGATCCGCCAAAGCGTGGGAAAAATTGAAGAAGTATCAGGAGCAGGCCGGAAAGACTGTTAAAAGACCACTGCAGAGTGTGAGTACAAGGTGGAACTCCATCTTTTACATGATGCAAAGGATTCTCGAAATCAAAGAAGAGATTAATAGTTCTTTATGTAATTTAAATGCCAGTGCTATGTCACTATCCCAATTTGATTGGGAGCTTTGTGAAAATGTGACCAAAATTTTAAAACCTTTTGAAGAAGTGACCAAAGAAGTGAGCGCCCAAAAATATGTTTCGGGAAGTATTGTTATACCTATCACAACGGGACTTATAGCCTCTTTGGAAAATATGGATACAAGTTCCTATCTTGAAACTGCCCAAATGTTTAAACAAGACTTATTAGGCGCTATAAAAACTAGGTTTGCTAACTTGGACAGAAGCCGCACTTTCACAGTTTGCATGTTCCTGGATCCTAGATTCAAGTTGTACTTCGATGATCCAAGTGTAGCGGAAAATACGAAACAAAATGTTATACAGCTCGTGACTGCTCAAATTCACAAAGAAGACCGCGTTTCACAGTCATCCCAAAACGAAAATGGTTTAATGGAGCTTCAGGAGTCCACTTCAACACAACCAAGTACCTCTACTTCAGGGGAGGTGCAGATCTCTTCAGTATGGCAACATTACACACAGAGAATGAAAAATATCCAACCGAAAGGAACTGCGTCATCGAGGGCAATCATAGAGGTGCAAAGATATTTAGAAGACAAAGTTGTGTTGCCTACTGAAAAAATCTCACCATTACAGTGGTGGAAACAAAGGAAAGATGTGTATCCGCATTTACACGCTCTGGCTATTACAAAACTAAATGCAATGGCTACGAGTGTTCCATGCGAAAGATTATTTTCAGCTTGCGGCCTGCTCCTAAATGACAGACGAACTAGACTAGGCACTCGAAAAGTGCAACAGCTGATGTTTCTTCATCAAAATACATAGCGCAGCCTGTTGTCGAGTGTATAACTGTATGTAATATGTAGCACATTGTACATACATATATTAAGTTGTTCCAAGAGCAAAACTATGTAAATATTTGTAAATTAATAGTGTACATACAAAACTAAAAAAAGAAAAAAAAGAAAAAAAAATACTTGTAAATAAGTAGTGTAAATACTTACAAAATTAAAAAAAGACAAAAAAGTAAAAAAAAATATATAAAACAAAAAAAAATACTTGTAAATAAATAATGTAAAAAAATGTGACCTTATGTACATAAAATGAATTGAAATCTTTTAAATACGCCTGCTTAAAACTAAATTTTAAGCTGACAGTCCTAAGCCTGTAGAAGTATGAAGGGAAGATTACAATTCATTAACTAAGAAAACTTATAAAACTAGCATAGTAAAGTAAATAGTACGTAGTAAATAAAGTACTGCGTCATATCATATTCACTCAATACAATACGCAGTACTATGTGGATTAGGTGGAATAGGTATTTGGATTAGGTACTTATGTGGATTAGGAACAGGTGTATCTGATATCAAATTTACCTAGTACAACCCATCTCTACTTGTTTCACCTTCGCTTGGTCAACGACGAACGAAGTGCAAGAATGACAATTGACGTTTATACATTTCACGTTTGACAATTGTTAATTTACAACCACAGACTAAAAATACAAATGATTCAAAAGTAATAGATAATGCAAAAGTTTTTAGTTTTAAATATTTTAGTAGTAATTTGTTTTAATTTTATATAATATGTGTCTGTGTATTAATGCCAGTGATAGTAATTAATATTTGTTAAATTTTACAATATAAGTCGTAGCTAAAGTATCTAACATTATTATATAATCTTTTAGACTGTTCCGCATTCTAAATAAAAATTACAGTAACAAACCTATAGACGCATTTTAGCGTGTCTTGCCTTCCAACCAAAAATTGCTACATATGGATAGAACAAACTAAGTATCGATCTAGCCTACCTTTAAACGCGAGGCCTGAAAAGTTTAACATGCCAATAAACTGAGCGCGTGACCTATTAACACATTATGTGGCACATTCGAAAATTTTAAAGAAGTAGGAAATTATATATATATTTCTTGATGACGTGACATTGGACTTGAGGTTGATGATGATTGCACAATTGTCCCATGGTTGACTTTGGTTTATTATTTATTACCTGTAATCTTAAAATAAACAAAGATAAGGATAGGTAATTTTTTTTTAATTTATACCAAAAAAACAACATTTATATTATTATTTACAACAGGACATTTTGAACTAATACAATATACACAGAACTTAAATAGTTTAGGTTTTGCTTGTTTGCAAGTTTTAGTACACTCTTTCCCTCATTGTCAGTCTTTTGATGGGGCCCTATCAGTAAAAATAGTCACGTTTAATTTTAATAAACTTCGAGATTTTCAGCGTACTCAATTACACGTTGTATATGTCCCACTCATGGCCTCCTCTCTTAGGCGAGAGGGAATGGTCTGTAGTCCCAACGCTAGCCCAATGCGTATTGGAGACTTCACATTCATCCATAGAACATAATATCTCAAGGCATTCATCATCTATTCGCTACTTTTTCGGTGAAGGAACAACATCGTGAGGAAACCTGCATACATTTACATTACAATACATGGTCCAATTCTTCACTTTTGGTTCACTCGACTTTTCATTATTTAAGTCATCATTTTTCAAGTACTGACTAATTTTAGGTAGCTTTTATTTTTTTCTTCAGTCTCCTGAAGTCTAGTCTTCAGTCTTCTTCCTCTCTCATTTTTTTTGAGCTCGCGACCTCTTGGGTCGGGGGCTTGTAGTATTTTGCCATCCCTGCTACCCTATTGTTACGCCACTGCTCATTGTGAAGAAGATAAAACCATTCCGTTTTTACGGATTTCAAAGACGAAAATATTATTTTGTTTTGTTTTGGACCGTATTTCAAATTGTCTATGCGTTTTTTTACTATCTATGGTCTCTGCAATTCCATTTAAGTTATAATAATGTCTTTTCGTTCGTGATAGGCACACGATGGTACGATAATAAACACAAATTGTTCAGCATTAGCATTTAGAGTGTGTAATGCATATCAATGCCAATGCTTAATAATGTTTATGCTTTTTATGTAATATTTTAGAATTCCTTCAGAATGTAAACATTCTGCGTGATTATAGTTGTTACTTAAATTTCCTAGTCGTTCATATTACCTATAGCTATTTCTGCCTTTGTTTCAGATATTATAGACTATAAAGTTTGCAAAAAATATAACCTAAATTTTATAATTATAAAAAAAGATAAGAAAGAATTATAACTATAAATAATTTGAAAAATAAATATTTGCAGTAAAAAGTAACAAGTATGTTACTTTTTAAAATTTTATCAGTTAGTTAAAAAATAAGCGGTTTTCATAACTTTCTTTTGAATAAACAGTTAACAACTGTATCTAAAGGAGGATAAAAATACATTTAAGTATACAAATTTGGGCCCTGTGGCCAATCAATAAACATTTTACGATGTACGGTGTTTATTTCTCAATAAGTAAATAACAACACTCTCTTATAAGAGAAAACATAGCTTATTAATTAATTGTATATTACAATAGTACAACAGCAGGCCAGTAGAGGTCCAAACCTATCCGACCTAGGTAGGTATATCGATAAAAGTCGTGTTTAAGCAACCTTGTATTGTTAATTATTTATTATTATTGTTGTATTTTGCATTGTTATATTCCTACCTCATTGATATTTATGTATTTACATTGCATATTCGTGGACGCTTCGACCCATGCCACCTAAATAAAAAATAAAGACTCCCCTCGGAAGTTGTGAGCTCCGATATTACATGCATGCATGGATATGGATATACAGTTCTTATGTAATTTTCACACCTTTTGCTAACATATTCTTAAGTACTTGATTGTCCTCACGTCGAGGCAGAAACGAAACGTCCGTCGTTCCACAAAAGCGTTTTTTAAGGTGGTTTTTACCGCGCATCACCCGCGCATTTGTGGAACCAGCTGCCCACTGTATTTCGGAACCAATTCGCCTTCGGGTCCTTCAAGAAAAGAGAGTATCACTTAACATCAGGTAGGTGCCTGAGCCTCCAGCCCTGCTCTATAAAAAAAACACACAAAGCCTCTTGGCGTTCATAAACAGTAAGCAGATTGTACAATGTTACTCCCCGTGTTGTCTAGTCTGTGCGACCATAAAAAAACAGAGTGCTACCTTTGACCATAGAGGATGTTGCTGTATTTTCGGTGTATGTCTGGAACGTTAGTTTGAATTTTTGGTCCAATCTTGGGTTTCCATCATCTGCATAATTAATCATGCGTGATGATTTGAGGCTTAAATTTTAAAAGCTGATAATTTGTTTACACTTGATAGTCGTAGCTAATAATTAAATTGGAGATTTTCCATGTAAACTATGAAATATTATTTCATACAAATTATTTATTTTTAAATTTTCATCGCAATCGCTCCACAGGGACCAAACTTTAAAAATTTGTTTTAATTTTCTATGTATTTATTATTATTACTATGAAGGTTAAGAACATTGTAATACTGTATATGTGTGTTGTAAATAAATATAACTAGGTATTACCTATAAATATAGATACAATAACTTGGAAGCAAATTTTTGAATTCATTTCCCACACAATAAAGAGTCGAATAAACAATTTGCTAATCATTTACAAATAAACGAGTGGGTGGCGCCTTAGTTAACGCCCACCGTCGAAGCCTTCTATATAGCCGTCTCTTTCACGCATCGTGGTTAGGGGTCAAATATTAATTTCGTAAAGGAACTAACAATTCAACGGAAACATTCCAAACGAAACTTCAAGACAAAGTTATATAATTTTTTACTTTAATTAACTTTTTTTATTCAGCATAGAGCATAGAGTTACCTTGACTTTCCCAGGTTCAACTGAAACTGATTCATCAGATCCTGACTTAAACAAAAACAGAATTGAGACTTAACTAAATATGACTATTTAATCGGCCCCAAATAATCTATATTATGGACTTATTAGGTACTAATTGAGAATTGACCGGTCCAATGTGAGGTATACGATCAAAAGCTGCTGGTCTCTGTTGTCCATTTCCTTATATATAAAGGCGCGGATAATAAAAACACGTGGCATTTACAATTCGTCATTTGAGATTTCAATAAATTGTTTTGCATAAAATACAAATATTTCATTATTCATAAATTCTCTTTACGAAATTTTCAATTTAAATACAATTTCTATAAGGTGATTCGCCGTTCTCTCTTTCTCTCTAAATCAGTCTCAATCGCTCTCTCCCTTCGACAAAAACGCTGCACATCTTCGTGACGTTCCGTAAAAATTTTACCCTCATGCGCCTAAAGAAGTTTCACTTCAAAAAGAAAAAAATAGTTCTAACTTAAATATTTTAGAACATATACTAACAAAACTAATACTCATATTAAGAAATGTAAACTAACCAATGTATGGATTCATTAATAAAGCTTTAGCAATAATATCTAATATTTAAAACTCCTCCGAAACGGCTTGACCGATTCTCATGAAATTTTGTGTGAATATTGGGTATGTCTGAGAATCGGACAACATCTATATTTCATCGCCCTAAATGTCAAGGGTAGTCAACCCCTAAATTATTTTTATTTTTAGATAATTTTTTATTTTTTTATGTTACAGGCACAGCATTAAATAATACAAACAACCCCTAATTTTCACCCCTCTACGATCAACCCCTATTTTTTATTATAAATGATATATAGCAAGTCAGCTAGTTCTTGTATATAAAGTTATAAACCTACTAGCTGCCCCCGCGAACTTCGTTTCTCCTTTATGTGATTTTACTTAGCCTACCTTTTTAGTACATGCCAACATCGAACATTTCGCTATGCTACCGCAGAGAATGTTCGGTTTTCCGGAATGAATTATTATGAATTAAAAATAATATTCTGTACCCAAAACAACTGTTATAAATAGATAGAATGTATTTCTATGAC